AAAAAAAAAAAAGCTTTGTTTTTTACTCTTTTAAGATGAGAAATTCAGTTTTTTTTGCTGCTTCTTTATTTGAACTTTTTTTTTTGCTTGTTTCCAAAAATAATTTTGAAATTAAATAAAATTTTTTTTACTATTTTTAATGCTAATATTCTACTAATTTATTTATTCTTTTGTTAATTTAGTTTTCCAAAAATAAAAAAAACAAAAAAAAAGAGGCATTTGTGAATGTTGGAGTAGTATAAAGCATAGAGAGAAAATTCATAAACTTAAAAAGGAGTTGATAAAAGCTAAAAAATGGTACCAAAATTTTTTCTGATTGGTACTGTTAGTTGAAAAGTGGAATTTGCAAAAAAGAAGAAGAAAAGAAAAGATGAAAAGGAGAAGAAATACTGAATGTTTTTTTTTTTGCATTTTTCACTACAAATGTTATGATAGAACTTATCTTATCACATATCTTTTATTTCACTCAGTTATCGTTCTTCTTTTTTATGCTAATCTTTAGTCTGTTTCTGAATACTTATATACTTTTGGGACTTAGGGATTTTATTTTGGTCTTTTTTTTAGTTTAATTTTTTTACTGTAATTGAAAAAATTGTTTGATTTTTTCCTATCAAACTTGTTTTGATGTCTTTTTTTTTTTTTTTTTTTTTTAGAGTTTAAAAGGAAATTTTTTTTTAATAACTTTTTTTTTTTCGGTTATCAGTTTGACCTCTCCCCCCTCCCTCTTCCCCTTCCCCCCCCCCAAAAAGAAGATTTTACTTAAAAATTTGCAATTTATATGCAATTTTGGAACCTTTTTTGTTTTTTATTGTCACCTATAACAGTTGTTCTTTGATTTGTCAACAATATTTTTGGTCATATTTGTTTTTGTTTTTGTTTTTGTTTTTTTTCCTTTAATGTGTCTGTTCAGTTTTCTGATAAAAAGAAATTCATCTTATAATGCTATTAGCAAATTTTTTTTTTCAATATAATATTAGAAAGCAAAATTACTTTTAATTTCTTTTTGTAAGTTTGATTTTCTTCATACTTTATTGCAATGAATTTGTAATCGATGAGACGACGATTTAGTTAGGTGGTGATGGCGATGTTGTTGGTGTTAATTGTTCAGTC